AGCCGATTATGGAAAATCCGACGGTTTGACTTCTGCCAAGGTATTGAGGGTGAACAGCAGCGGAATTAGTCTTCATTGGTTGAACTAATTAAGACAATAGGTGGCTGACTCTTACCCAGTTATTCTCATTGAACCGGCTCTCCCTAGTAGCACGCAGGGGTCGCAGGGTGTGATGGGGAGGAAGAAAGCGAGGAAGAGAGACTCTATTTTCCCTTGCATCATCCTCTGCTACCGACGTGCGCGTTATGCGAACTGGATGAGTCAGGAAGGGTAGAATGTCAGGCAGAGATGGCCATAAAAATCTGTATCAATTACAACAATAGAAAGGAACTGACGTCATATAGAAAATTTCAGATGACATGACCAGTTTATATTATTTAGTCTACCTATGAAAACAGGAAAAGGTTCTCCATAATACGTGTAGCAGTTAAACAGCGGAACTAACGAAACAGACAAAGGCGTTTTTGTCGATTCCAGCCTTCGAATTACTAAGAGCCAATACTAATCCTAGTGAATGTCCTACAGTTCACTAAACAGAAGTTGCTNTGAGGAAAAGCTGTTCAAAGGGTCCAGAATATTCAAGTAATTATAACTTGGTATAAGTGAGCTATCTGCATGACTAAATGAAAATGAAGTACAGGCGTGAAAGTTGATTCTGAACAGTGAAATGGATGTAACTCACCTGGTGGAACACCTGGTGAACATTGGTGGGTATTTATTTACGAGTAGTTAAGTTAAATGCCTGTTAACTAGGTAGAGTAACTTATTCCACTTCTACATTAAACAAAACATTTTAGTTTCGCAATTCATACCGAGACAGTGTCCTTCTATCCCCACCCCTGCCCTTTTTTCAGTGTTATGTAGATCTGAAAAATGGGCCGGTTGACAAAAAATGTCATCTCTTATACAAATATAATTGTGAGAAAAAGAGGTCTTGAATTTTTCTTTATGCTGTCAGGAGCCGATTATGGAAAATCCGACGGTTTGACTTCTGCCAAGGTATTGAGGGTGAACAGCAGCGGAATTAGTCTTCATTGGTTGAACTAATTAAGACAATAGGTGGCTGACTCTTACCCAGTTATTCTCATTGAACCGGCTCTCCCTAGTAGCACGCAGGGGTCGCAGGGTGTGATGGGGAGGAAGAAAGCGAGGAAGAGAGACTCTATTTTCCCTTGCATCATCCTCTGCTACCGACGTGCGCGTTATGCGAACTGGATGAGTCAGGAAGGGTAGAATGTCAGGCAGAGATGGCCATAAAAATCTGTATCAATTACAACAATAGAAAGGAACTGACGTCATATAGAAAATTTCAGATGACATGACCAGTTTAGTCTACCTATGAAAACAGGAAAAGGTTCTCCATAATACGTGTAGCAGTTAAACAGCGGAACTAACGAAACAGACAAAGGCGTTTTTGTCGATTCCAGCCTTCGAATTACTAAGAGCCAATACTAATCCTAGTGAATGTCCTACAGTTCACTAAACAGAAGTTGCTCTAGTCCACTCCGTCTGCGGGGTAAGTTATAGGAAAATTATTCTTTCACTGCTGTAGTGATTTCCTGTTGATCATTCTTCGTAGCAAGTTATGCAAGTTATGCAGTCCTACGGAGAACAATTTGAAACAAGGGGAAATTTTTAATATCAAAACTAAAAACACTGACTGTTAGCACGTGTGGAAATATAGCAGCAAAACTGAGATAGTTTATGGTGTGAAATAAGAAAGCACAGCTGAAAAGAATTTTAAAAGAGTAAAAGAATGAATAATCCTCAGCAGGTGTGCCTTAAAAGGCATTGTCCAAAGGATGCCCGCTGTGGGTTTAATTTGTTTCCTACGCCCTTTAAGCTGAGTAGCGAATGTCACTATCAAAACAAACAAAAACTGACACTATAACACTTTTGGCCATAAATATTTTACTTTTTGCAGATCAGTTATTCAACATTATAATTTTTAATTTATTGAAACTATGGGAAAGAGAGAATCGAATGAGCCATAGGTTTTTCACCCTGTCCTTTGTTCACGTACATATATAAACTCGTTTTACAGGAATTAAGAGAAATAGTAATTAAAAAAAGACTGTACAAGAAGTCTAATTCCCAACATTGAACACCTCAGTAAATAAGCAGTGAAAGGAAATTCGATCTCATAAAGAAGGCAAAATTTGTTCGCTATAAGGAGATTTCGTTATATCGATGTTCTTTTCGATACTGTGTTTTATTATTACAATGGAACCTCAATATAACGAAGGGTCACGGGACTGGCAAAATGTGTTCATTTCCTTTTCCATTATGATTTTATTATTACTGGGGTAAAGAAATCGTTCCGGTTAGAGCGAGGACTACGTTATATTCATGAGGTTCCACTGTTCAACCATAAGGTGCGTCGGCTCGAATTATTTTTGATTAGTGAAAGGCCCTTTTAAATGCGTAAATTACAAATTTCCTTACCCTTTCAAATACTTCAACACAAGAAGTCTCTACACTTTATATACCCAATGCCTGAAAAAGGTACCTCTTTCGTTGGGGGGGGGGGGGGAACCCCCCGTTTGGGCCATCACGGGGAGTTGACCCCAGGGCAAAGTTTCCTAGTTGAGAAAATTTGAAAAAAAAAATTTCCAAAATGAAAACATTTTTTACCCACCCTTGCCTGCTTTTTCCCCACACGGACCCCCCTTCTCTTTTTTTCC